ACAAAAATGTCACCGTCCACAGGAATGCACTGCTAAAAATAAGAAGAAAAGCCCCAGCCATGTTTCTAGATCATTTATATCAAAATCAGCAGGACATGAAAATTTTGATCTGATCTGTTGTGGCTATGAAAATGGCTACATTTTTAAGCTCCAAGGCATTTTTTTTTCACACCAAGCAAGGCAAGAATACCACTAGTATACAGGTGTGTACAGTTAATGAAAGTGCGGAAAAAGACTAATTATAGGGTGGATTGAGGAAAGAACAAAAATGAACATGATTCAGGAAAATAGAAGATGGCTGTTGATGTTGCATTTAGTTTTTGAAGATTGTAGAAGGGAGCTCCACAAACAGGAAGTATAAGAAAATAAACTGTAGAAGTGGTGGTTGCATTTAGTCATTTCAGCAGTAAACAGTGGGACCTAGATGCCAATCTAGTAGCTTGCTTAAATTCATGTAGTCAGGGCACCAGCGGGGGGGAAAAGAGCAGTTGCCATGAAAATACTTGTAGAAAAAGATAGCTAGAAGCCATCTCATATTGGAGAGGAAGTGACTGAAGTTGAGATGCCAAGTCAGGATCAATTACATTACAGATCCTTCTTTGGATTTTGTCAAGAACCTTGAGATGAATATCAGGAGCACCAAACCAAATATGGCAGCAGTATTCAATGCACAGGTGAATGGTAGATTTATAAATGTGCAAGATGGACTCTGATGAGAAAAATCTTCTGGCATGACACATTGACCCAACTTTCCTTGCAAAAGATGCAGCTATTGATTTGATGTACCCACTCCACTTCAAATCAATTGAAAACATGAGGCCAAGAAAGCACAGTGTATTGCTCTCCTGGAGTCTAACATCAGCCATGTTGATAGCAAGCATAAAAGTTTCTCTATGGTGGTTAATTGCAATCAGTTATGTTTTGGAGGTATTAAAATTTACAATTGCCCCAATTGCTCATGTATATGTTCTGTTTGTTATGCCACAACTGACTTGAACTTTCTTCTAAAACATCATATTTATGACTAAGTTTGATTTAACTCTGATAAAATGTACTTCTCTTAAAAGTATAAAATTTAGATTAGAATTCAGTCCCCAGTGAGTACTTATTCTTGTGTTAAAACTAAGTTACAGTAAAGTTACTAATCAGCCTGATTGATTATGAAAGTTAATTGTTTTGGAAATGTAGCAAATATATGGAGAACATGCCTGTTATTTGTTGTTGTAAACAAATACTTGAGGCTAAACAAGTGATTGGTCTTTGTTCGACCGTAAATTGGATATATAGTCACAAGAAAAATTTAGCACATTTTAAGAAATGTTTTTTTGTTTTTTTTTAAATATGAACACATCAATATTTGATCTTCTTTCATATATATATATATATATATATATATATATATATATATATATATATGAATGAGAGATAATCAAATATAAATTTTTATATATCAAGAACAACATTGGGGAAAATGTATGGCAGTGAAAAAAGTTTTGTGCAACGTGTTTTGTCCTTTATGTTGGTGTGACTACACATGTGCAAGGATGAGGGATTTTTATTTTTTTTATATATAATCTAGCTGATTTCATTTAGATTCTTTTTTTTTTTCCCCATCACTTTTGTTATTCGATATCACAGAGTAGCATTTTTTTATGTCACAATTGCGGTCAATCTCTTTATGATGGGCAACCAAATGAAAGTAATGTAACAGAATAAAAAAAGTTAAATGAAATTGTTACTTTGTTATCAGTTATTTTAAAAATGAGCAAATGTTAATTGGTGTACAGTTGTGTTAAATATTTTCGTATTTTAAATAGACACTCCATTTTTATTTATCAAACAGTGTGTGAGAAACAATAAAATCTGTTGAATCTTTTACATACCAGGGAAGTGAAATAAATTTGACAGAAAAGGATGTGAAAATTCACATAAAGCTTTGGCTGCCTTGAATAAAATGGATGTAATCTGGAAATCTGATCTACCCCAAACAAATTCAAATGGAGATTCTTTCAAGCTATATAAAAGCAGTGTTAATGTATGGTGCTACTGCTTGGACTTTAACTAAAACCCTAGAGTCTAAGCTTGATGGAACCTACCATGCTAAGAGCTATACTTAACATCTCTTGGAAACAACATCCAACTAAATCTTAGCTCTATGGACCTATCCTTGATCATTCTACAATCTTACGTGCATGTAGAATGTGCTTTGCAGCACACTGCTGGTGAGCAAAACAAGAACCTGCGAGTAATCTACTGCTCTGGACACCTAGTCATGGCACAAAATATGCTGGTCACTTAGTAATTGACCAGCTATATTATGACACAGAATGCCACCCTGATGACCTTCCAACTTTGATACAGGACAGTGATGGTTGGCATGATAGACTCATGAATGTCCAAGCTAGCTCAATAAAATAAATTACTTGCCTATCAGCTATAAGGGAGCCACCATTTGATCCAGCATGTTTAACTACTCAGCCACACTGAATTTTCCCTATAAAGCAGGGTGTAGGTTCAATACCTGCTGGAGAACACATTTTCTTTATTCAGACACATAATACATGCCTTAATAAATAAAAATGAGGTGTCTATTTCAATTACAAAGTACCCACTATAATAACATTTGAAGTAATAAAAATGTCAAGTTGAAAATAATTCTATTAATTATTTGGAAAATGAAGCTAGGTCTCATCATTTTACACTTGAAATGGCTACATATAACTAAGTTCTATGCTAACAGTTTTTCTCTCACACTTCTCACTTGTGGAACACTCTTCAGGCATATTGCTTTCCAGTCAACTTTGATCTTTAAAAATTTAAATACAATGTCAATCATTAGATTCTATCCTCTTAATTCTTGTTCTTTTATTGTCTCCTTAATGTTTTTTCTCATATTCTTTCACACGCAGTAACTCCTTACATCTTAGTGACTTTATTGCATTGCTTGGTGGGGAAATTATAAAACAAAATAGAAACCTTTAAGATAGCATTTTGTGTGATCAACTCTTCAACCATCATTAGGTTTGTGTGTGTGTATGAAAGAGAGAGAAAAGAAACCTCTTTGAAGAATTGTGATGGAAGGAACAAAAAGGCCTACAGAAAATGAACATTAATACACTATCCATACTAGTCCATTTTCACATCACCAAATATACCAAGCACCAAAGTCCCCAAGGACACATGGCCCAGTGACTTGACCCAAAGAACTATGATTTCAATACCTGGCCACAAAAACTTGGAGAGTTGAGTTACTAAAGGGAAGTAACTGAAACTGAGTATCCAGAAAAGGCATGGCATGTGGAACTAGAAGGACTTCAGTTCGAACAAGACAAATTGAGTAAATAGTAACAATACCTTTTCTCAGAAATATAGACAGATATTTCAAAATTATACTAATTCTGAAACATCATCCTAGTATTTGTGCTTAAGTACTATACTATTATTTTCCAGCATCCACTTCACCAAGCAAAGAAAACAATATAATAAAAAAAAAATGTATATTAATTCAATTTAAACACTTAGGAGGTTGTTATATGCTACCTCCTTCAATTTATTCACACTCCAGTAATGGTTCATATCAGTTATCTGGATCTCAAACAAGTCAATTGCTGACTTCATTCATTCAAATAAGGAGCAGTACTTGTTCAGCGCAATCATTTGATTCACAGGAAACAGCTTAGTAGAGACTTCCCCACTCTTTTTCCAATTTCAATATATGCACAATATCACCATTTTTGGACAATGATTTTTTTTTTTTTTTGGTATGAGTAGTGGTGGTTCACTTTGCTTGCTCCATGACCTTTAACATTGTTCAAAAGTATCCAATTTTTTTATCACTTGTCACGCTTTTTTTATACATGGTTCAGTAGTCTTTTGTTTTTTTTACTTTTATGTGAAGATCATACATCAGTAATTAACATAAACAAGCAGGTGCAAATGATTTTGAAGTTTGAGATATTTTAAAAATGTTAACTATCACTTGCATTCTTGTGTAATGTATTCATTTGATCCAAAAAGAATTATTTCTAAAATCCAAAGCTTTTTAAATAACCCACATAAGCCATAAAATATGAATCAATCAATCAATAGTCACCATCAACTTTGTCTACCTAACCATCAATTAGTGAAAAATCTCCACTTTAATCCTTTCAGTCATTTACACTATCTTTTCCATAAACTACAAATATCTGTTTTGTATTTAACCTACATTTTTCCTTCCTTAAAATAAAACAATGTATAATCTGCTGAAAATATTTCTTATTTATTTGTCTTCAATGAATAAACAAGAATGTGCCAATTTTGGCAAAATCTCTCTTTTTTTTTCTTTTAAAAAAAAAAAATGGTCACTAATACATCTGTCACAATACAAATAAAAGTAACCTTTTCAGATTAAATTAATTAGAACTAGGCACTCTTAATTCCATCTAATGAAAAGAATAGAACAAATGTTTTGGCCAACATATTAGCACTGTTTCTTTACATGTCTTTTAAGAATTAAATCTCTTAGATGTTGGTAATTATGTCCTTGGATACTAAAACATATTAACAATACTATAAAAAGAAATTGAAAAATGAACAGTCTTCTTATTACAACATGTATTTGGAATATTAACCAAATTCTAATCTCCTTGTTTATTTGGTTCCAATTGTTTATTGATCTGTACTTTTATTGTCCGTTCTCCTCAATAATGTTTTCTCGGTTTCTTTCACTCTCAGTAACCCCTTACATCTCAGTGGCTTTATTGCCTTGCTTGGAGTTAAATGATTAAAAGAACACCTAAGATCAATGAACGTTATAAAAACTACCAAAAACAATATTTGAAAGCATAATAACAATTCACCATTGATTTTGAACTGTGGTCTGGATTTGTATTTATTTTTTATTTGCATGAAATGTCATTAGAATTTTGAAAATTGAATGTTTTCATTTGAATTTTGAGCAAAATACATCCACTGTCTCATCAGTCTACTTTGAATTATCAAATCTTGTTTAAATTCAGAATCCTGTCAACGGCATCAGTGATGTATTTAAACGCCGAGCACAGTCAGGAAATGAGTCTCCTTTCACACAACAAGTGGTCAATAATGGACCTTCCTCCCCGGGAGCCATGAGCCTCACCCGACGTAGATTTTCGCCGTCAAATTCGGTAAGTTTGTCTCCACATGATCATTTTTTTCTTTTACATTTTTTTTTTTCTTCTTCTTCTTTTTTTCTTCTTTTTCTTTTCTTTTTCTTCTTTTTCTTTTTTCTTTTTCTTTTTTCTTTTTTTTTTTTTTTTTTTCTTTTCTTTTTTTTCTTTTTTTTTTCTTTTTCTTTTTTTTTCTTTTTCTTTTTTTTTCTTTTTCTTTTCTTTTTCTTCTTTTTCTTCTTTGCTAATTGAGAGGCTGCAGAGAAATATACTTTTAAAATTTGTTCTTCTTACATTGTGTTTTTCTGTTTTTTTTTTAATCTATTCTCACTTGTTTTTTCATAATTATCTCTTGGTTTTCCCTAAACTTTCTAATCATTTCACTCTCAATCCCTCTATCACTCTAGTTGTCAGACTCCCAAATTCTTTCTATCACTCATTTTTTAGCTTTATTTACTCTCCTTGTCTCTGCCCTCCTCACTTTCTTCAACCTCTCTGTCTCACTCTTCCTTTTTAACACTTGTCCCATCTCTCTCTACTGTTTCTCCCCACCTCTCTCAACTTCTCCTTCTCTCTGTTCCTCTTTCAGCAATCCCAAGCTCTCTTCTTTTTTTTAACTCCTCTTAGCCTCCTGCTATGCTGTCTCTTATTTTCTTTTATTTCAATACTTACACATTTCTACATTTATTCTCAAAATCTAAAAATACTAATTTCATTCTTAGTAAATAGGTGATCTTTTAATGCAAAATGAATGGTAAATGTCATTTCAGAAATAAAACTTTCTCTCGTAGTTTTCGTCTGCTTTAATGATCATTCATGAATCGCAACTTCAATCTTTATTCTCAGTCACCTTGATAATTGATAACAATTTAAAGTTATTTTACACACTGTATATCTATCTATCTATCTATCTATCTATCTATCTATAGTGGACATTTACATGTATTTCTTCAACTTAAATTGCTTCATACAAAATGTTAAATACTATGTTTGGCTTGGTTTTTCTCTTGGAACTTTTCCCAGGAATACAGCCAATCATTTAAGTGCAATAAACGTCTTTGTGTTTGCCAGACTTGATTAATTGAACTAAATCTGCTTACATTAATTTTGCTTGTTTGCATTACCTTAAAATCAAGGACATTTTTCCTAACAAAGATAAAAACTTTCTCTTTTTTTTCTTTTTGTTAATCATTAACAAAAAGAAAATAGAAAGTTTTTATCTAATAAGAAAAAAAATCTTGTTAGTTTTGCAAAAGTTTAATTATTTCAAAATTTCCTGAGGAATTGGACAATGGTCTTTTCTGTTAAGACAAAATAATTCTAAAGTAATTTTACTCTGCTTGCTTGCTCACAAAGGGAAACTATTTAAACAGCTTCTGTTGTTTTTAAATTGGCATAAAAAGATGTTTCTACTCAACTTACAGGTATGAATAACAGCTGATTTTTGTTTTAAGTTCCCAGAGAATATTTTTAGCATCAAAACAAAATTTAATCTTAATTCTTACAAAAGAATACCTTCTGAATTATTTGTTCTTTTAATTAAAGATAATCCTGTGTCTGTTGATTTTTATGGTACAGATGATTAAATTTCATTGTTTTACTGTCCATTAATAGCTTTTTGTTAAAAATTCCCTTCATATCAATGTATTTAGCTGTTGAAAAATTTCCTCTGTTCAAATTTATATTAAAATTTTCAATTTTCTTTGTCGTGCAAATTATAAAAACGTTTTACCACAATACATATAAATGTTTTTTGTTTTGCTCACATTTTGAGAATATTTTTCTTCAAAGCTAAATTTTATTTTCAAAGTTTTTAAATTTATATGATTAACTATTGAAATGGTCTCCACTCACATTTTTAAATTGTTGGTTTTACTGTAAATTTTCATGTTGAAAAATGTCATTTGTTGTACAGAAAAGACATAAATTACTATGTACTTCTAGTATAGTTTTATCCTGCTGCAAGACACTTTGATTAATACATACAAGCTGTGGGAGAACTATCCATGTGTGTGTGTGTGTCTGATAAACTCCTTTTATAAATGTTTTTTTTTTTATGTATGCATACAGATTTTAGTATTAAAAAAAGTGGGTCCTAGAAATTTTACACACATATGCCTGTGTGTGTTTATATATATGTATGTGTGTGTGTCTATTTGAATTTGTGTGTATGTGTTTTTGTTTTTTACATGTGTGTATGTTTGTATATATATATGTATGTTCATGTTTTATATAATGTGTGTGCGTGTGTGTCAGTATATGTGTTATATATGTGTCTGTGTTTGTATATGTGTCATGTGTGTGTATATGTTTGTAACTGATCCATACACCGAGGTATTTGAAGTGTTTGGCATTTACAAATTCCTCAACCTGAATTTCATGATGGATCCAGGATAGTTGCCATCACAGCTTTTATTCCAATTCCAGATCATTTCTCCTGTGTTGTAAAGGTTTATCTTTAATCCTATTTTTTGAAATACTTAGTATAAGATGCTGATTTTTTTTTTGTTCAAGATAATTCTTATCCCAACTATGAATACCACTTTTATCATTAATTTGATTCTTGAATATTTACATAAGTTTAGTTTTAAAATCAAAATTTGAATCTTCCCTAAATTTTTCAAGTTTTCTTTGCCACCCACCTTACCAAACTTTCCTCCATGATAGAAAATTAAGGTTTGAACTAATTAATCTTTTTTCTCACTCATTAGTTTAAGGGAGATAATAAAAAAAAAAAAAAAATAACCTTTTAAATTTAATTTCTGTATCTATTAATAGAAATTAATAATAAATATTTAGAAAGAAAAAAAGTCTGTTAATTTTTTATACAAATGCTTTTAATGTAGGAAAAATTAAGTTTCTATTTTTTTTATTTTTTTTTTATTTGTTTTCCAGAAATCAAAATGAATTACTGACAGAAATTTTCAATTAAACATTCAATATTTAAAAAAAAATAAAATTTGTTAACTTTTATTAGAGTCAATTTCAGAACATTTTTTTCTGTTATAAAACGCAGATTGTGTGTGTGTGTCTGTAACGTTTATATATTGGATCAGATTTCCTACATTTTTCAACCGATTTCAACAAAACTTCACAGGACTACATAAAATTACCTTGTGGTGGTTCTAACAGTGCCAAAAATGGGAAAAATATAATTGTTTTTGCACAGAATCAATTTGAAAACACGATTAAGAGACATCGTGAAAATGGAAGGGGACAACTCACATCGGATTGTTTGTGTGTGTGGGTTCCTTTAAATATGGGGAGCCAGTTTCCTATATTTTTCAGCCGATAAAACAAAACTTCACTTTTTTTTTTTTTTTTTTTTTTTTTTTTTTGTAGTGTTTCTTATTGTCTTGCACACTTTTTTCTTTATTTTTACATTCAGAATGCTTTAAAAATTCCATTTACAAGACAATTGTTTATAAAATTATTCTATTCAATCGGGAGACTCATAACGATTGAAAACAATGTTTTTGTTTGAGTTTGGGTTTGACCAATTCGTAAAAAAAAAAAAAAAAAAAAATCTTTGTCAATTTTATTTTTCAGTATTTATGATGGTGGATACTTGATCTATCTCTTACTGTTATATCCCCGGGCAATGCCAGGCTCTACTGCTAGTATATAATATAATCTTGACAAAATAAACTGGTTAGATATGCTTATATTTATATATAAAACCAAAAGTATATTTTGAACCAAGAATTATTCATATTGTTCCTTTTTGGTGAGCAACTTAAATATCATAAATTTTTAACTTCAATTTTTGTTTTTTCATACTAGTGTTCACCCAATAAAAAGCTCAAGAGCTACTCATGGTAGAGAGTTACTGAATGAAATGTGTGATATGAATTGAAGAGTAGGAAGTGAAGATTATATGGGTATGGAGAATAGGTAACAATTAACCCTTGAATTCATCAGTTAAGATTGTAGTATTTGGGAAAGTATCCATGAAGAAGTCTGTTCCACAAAGTGCTTGAGATTTATTATCTGTATTGTGCAGGCACAGATTTGAATATAAATGCTGTAGATATAGTTAAATAATTTTGACATTTCAAAAAGTTGGATCAATTTCTATAAAATGTAAGAATTTGCAAACGGGTATATAATTCTTAAGGTTATATATGAATATGTGAGAATAAAAAAAATACATTTCAAAATAAGCTATAATTTTGTAGAATCTGTTCACACTTCCCACTAATTGAATACAGCAAAATAAAACTGTATCTGAATTATTGATATGAATTTCAGTATTAGTTATATGTTGTTATGATTTTATCCTCATTGAGTTTTCACACCAATAATATCTATTCATGATTGGCAGTCATAATCTTAGCAACATTACATATGTAGATGACACAGAAAGGAAGTTACAGACACGCCTACAGAAGAAAGGACGAAACATCAATTGTAAGAAGACAATGTATGGTTGTTAGCAAAAAAGAAGAGCCCAACATGTGAATTACAAATTGGAGATGCCAAAGTCAAGCAAGTACAAAAATTTAAATATCTAGGAAATGTTTTAACAGAAGAAAGAAAAAACAACACCAGAACCTGAAGATGAATTAGGATAGTGAAAGATGCCTTCCAAAAGTTAAACAAAGTATTAAGAAACAGGAAATCTTGTTAGAAGCAAAGCAAAGAGTATTTAACTGTTATGTAATATCAATCCCCCTATATGGTAGTGAATGCTGGAAAATCTCATCACAGGTGAAAAAGAAACTTGATTCAACAGAAATGTGTTTCTACAGAAGGATGCTGAGGATACTATAGACTGAATATGTGAGCAATGATGAAGTTTTAGAGAAAACTGAAACAAAAAGAACATTTATACTTGACAACAGGAAGAGATAGTTGAAATTTCTAGGGCACATAATAAGGAAAGAGAGCTTGGAAAATTTGATACTCTCAGGACAGACTGAAAGCAAGAGGGACAGAGGACAACAATGCATAGCCTACCTAACAAGATTGTGCAGAACAGGAATTAGGGAAGAAAGCAAAAAGATAAACTTTACTAA